ATGATGAAAATACTTAAGGCATCTGGGATTTGCTTTAAATTCATGTAACATAAAGAGATACAAGTGAATTAAGACTACACAGGTATGGAAGAATGTGCCGGAACCCTAGTGCTTAGGAGGCTAAAGCAGGAAGATTTCAAGCTCAAGGCCAGCATTTACTAAATGAGGCCTATCTCTCCAGGAAAAAAAAAAAAGACCAGTTCTTTACTTCTAAGTGTTGAAGCTGGGTAAAGAATGTACACAGATTCACTATTCTACTCTACTTTCAAGAAGGTTGAAAATTTTAATGGAAAATTTCAACAGTAGCTGGTGTGATAGTGTACGCCTTTAATCACAGAACTAGAAGCCAGTTTGAAGCCAGCCTGATCTACATAGTGAGTTCCCTATCTCACAGGTAAATAAATAAATAAGAAGATAAAACAAACAGCATTAAGTACTCTGTAGCTATGTTTATTATTTTTTATTAATGTACCAGAGTGCTAGTATGGCTCATTGATCATTTTGTGCCCATTCTCTAGAGTCTCTTGAGTCTTCTGTCTCCAATATAAGCTCAGTGTTAATCTGGTTTGATTAGGGATGTAGCTTATCAGCAGACTGCCCAAGTAACACACACAAAGGACTGGATTCAATTCCAGTCGTCAAAAAAAAAAAAATGTTTAATTAAAAACTAGTAATGTCATTCCCTGGTCTTAATGACCTTCATCTACTATAGAAACAAAATCACTGATTTACAATGTGACTGTTTACTTTAAAAAACATACAAAACAAAAATAGGGTCATTGCTCAACTAGCAGCATTCTTGCCTCTGCCACCTAAGTGCCACGATTACAGATGTGAGCCATCTCAGGCTTTATCCTTTAAAAAAGCCCCACTCATCTTAGCCTCCATTCAGATCACTCTTCTCTTCACTTCCTGCTAGTCCCTAGATAAGTCATACCCCACCCTACAGCAGTCCCCTAGCAATGCTGTCCCTCCTTCCACATCCCTCTCCTCACTCTCCAGCCATCTCCAGAGCTCAGCTCAATCTCTATTTCACTTAAGAACAGCTCTGCCCTAAAGTTAGTGTGTATACTTGGCAGAATCATCTAGCTAAAGAAGTCCTATGGCGAATACCATGACTTACTTAGCAAAGGCATAATATTAAAATTTTGTCATTTTTCTTCAGCTTTGTATCCCTCATACCTAGCACAGGGCCTGGCCTAGACAGAGCAAATGATTAGTAAGTATTTATCTTGTTTGTTTTTCGGGACAGGGTTTCTGTGTGTAGCCCTGGCTGTCTTGGAACTTAATTCGGTAGATCAGGCTGTCCTCAAACTCAGAGATCCACCTTCCTCTGCCTCCTGAGTGCTAGGATTAAAGGTGTGCACCACTACTGCCCAGCGACTACTAAGTATCTACTGAACAATCGAGGGAATGATAATTCATTGACTAGAAGGCTCCTCCCACTGCTGCCATGGGACTCGACAGAAGATCCTGGCCTCTGGCTTGACAGCAAAGTCCCATGCTTCCTCACCAGTCGTCACCCACATTGAAGGCATTCAGGCTCTTGGTGAATCCCTGCATGTTGGTGGGGCTGACCCTCTGCAGGAAGTCAATGTAGTCCTCTGAATGGAAGCGGCACATGTCATGCTGGGAGGCCTGGTAAGGTTTAAAGACCTGGGAATGGAGACAAAAGGGAAGTTGTTATTTTGAGCACTGCCTAGGTACTAGCTGGATTTCCATACTGCCCTAATCTTTGAAGGCAGGATACCTGTGGGGTAGAAGTTTCTCTCAGGCGGGCTAGCCAAAACAGGATCGGCCCAGGAGGGCTACTAGAGTGTCCAACTAGACAAGACCTCACTTAATTATAATCCCACCTAAACACTGAATGATACTCCCAATACCATGATAGGTGACAATTGCCATGGAAACAACTAGAAAGCAAAAAAAAAAAAAAAGTGGTAAAAAAAAGAGCAAAGAGTTCCTGAATTCCCAGAAATTTTCTGCCCAGTCTCAGAGAAAAAAAATGAATATCCCTTTTATTAGTCTATTTCTCTCACCTCATTTTTACTCTATATCTATAAACTCTTAATTAAAATTTTATTACATTATTTGTGTGTGTGTGTGTGTGTGTGTGAGAGAGAGAGAGAGAGAGAGAGAGAGAGAGTATGTGGGTAGGGTAGGTAGGTACAGATGCCACAGTGAAGTCAGGGATAACTTAGATGCCAATTCTCTCCTTTCACCATGTGGCTGTCAGGGTTCTCACTCAGATCACCAGGCTTGGAGACAGGCTGAACCACCACTCTAACCCCTACACCTATAACCTCCTGATGCCTAGGAGTTGAGAACGTTATCTCCCACTTATATTTGTGACCAAAAAAAAAGTCCATTTCAGTGCTCATTTGACACACGGTTTTCCTACTGGTTCCACAGTTCCAGGAAGGGGAAGAAAAGGTCTAGTCTGGATGAAACACCTGATAACAAACCTAGGCAGTGCTATACCAGTGCCTGGGCTGAGACCACTCCACACTGATTTCAGCCCTGGAGACTGTCCAAAACACATAAAACAATCTTCCTACCCCATCCCTTGTTACTCTATGACAACTCTGAGTGAAGAAGAGATGTTATTCTGGGCAGGCTTTTTTTTTTTTTAAAAAAAAAAAAACTTATTTATTTTTATTTTATGCGCATTGGTGTTCTTCCTGCATGTATATCTGTGTGAGGGTATCAGATCCCTTGGAACTGGAGCTACAGAGCTGTGAGCTACCACATGAGTGCTGGGAATTGAACCCCTGGTCCTTTGGAAGAGCAGCCAGTGCTCTTAACCACTGAGCCATCTCGCTAGCCCCAGGGCAAGCTACTTTTATCAAGACCCCTGAAGAGCACTTCACCTCCTTCCTCCCTGCAGCCCAGTCTCTCCAACCTTCCCAGCCCACTTCTCCTGGCCCACAGGCCTATTCCTAGCTTTCCCAGTCATGGTTCCCTCTAAACTTATCTCCTCTCTCAAACTCAAGATTCTTTTCTCTTCTCGGGGTTTTTCACCGTGGGATCAAATCTATGACATGTATAACAATCTAACTGAAATCCAAAGTCCTAAACCAAAGATTTATTATCCTTAGTGGGGGCAGAGGTGGAGATTCAAACAATGGTTTGAATACTGGGCAAGAAACACTTTTACTCTCCTAGAAAATGGATAAAAGGCCACACAGACCATTTTAGGGGATTCACAGACTTGCACTAATACCACTTCACTCTTTTCTACACCCAAACCACTGCCTGTGCCTAAACACGCTGATTACTTGTTGAATATCTTCACGGTACATAAGGACCAGTCTTGCTATTGTCCCATTTCACAGCTAGAAATTCCAAGCCGGGGAGAAACAGTACCTGTATAACATGGGAAATGGAGAGTTGGGCAGAACCATATAGATACATCCTATATTAAAAAGTAAATTCCCACCAGGCAGTGGCGGTGCACACCTTTAATACCAGCACTCAGGAATCAGAGGCAAGTGTATCTCTGAGTTAGAAGCCAGCCTGGCCTACAGAATGAGTTTCAGGACAGCCAGGGCTACCCACAGAGAATCCCTGTCTCAAAAACAAAAACAAACAAACAAACAAAAAAGTAAATTCCCAGAACATATTCTCTACACATATACACCACAAAATGTAGAGTTGTCTCCAAGAGTTGTCCTTTCAGGTAAAGGACACAGGAGAAGGAGCAGGAATTATGGGGAAATCTCACCAGAAAATATACTCCCAACCCTCATCTTCAGTTCTGCACCGCTATCCACTCTACAAGACAGAGGGGCTAGAGGCGTATTTCGGTGGCAAAACACGCACTTAACGTGTGAAACCCTGGATTCAATCCACCAACATGTAAACTAAATAACATGAGAAGGAACAAAACTGTCTTCAAAGGGTCCCCCTAATCCCAGGCTAGAGGCTGGTCTGTCCTCAAGTTAAAAGGGAGTCTCACCTAAGGTCAAAAATGTGTCTCCATTAAGTCGGGGGACACCCTCCACTCAGTACCACCACCACCACTGCACATAGGGAATGTCCTGTGTGCCTTCTATCCTGCTCCCCCTCCTCTAGGGGTAGGTTGCACCTGGTATGTCCAGCCCACCTAGCCTAAGGCCGCAGCTCATTCCCTGGCCCAAACCCCCACAAAAGTGGCAGGACTCACGATCATCTTCTTATAGAGACCATAATGCAGGACTAGGCTATGAGTCAATGCCAGGCGATGGGGCTTCATCGGGTGCCCAGCTCCTGGGGGCAGGGAAGGAAAGAGTTGATCAGTTCCCACCCCTAGACTTGCAGCCCTTCCCGCAAAACCTCTCTTTCCGCACAACCCTGTGCCCTACCGTAGTGGAAGTTGCCCACATCGGGGTCGTAGAAATACGCCACCGTCTTGGCCATGGTGCTGGGGTACCAGGCCCGGTGCCTCAGCCGCCCGCCCGCCGCCGGCCGCCAGCCCCACCCCTCCGTGCGTGCTGCGCAAGCACGCAACTCACCACTGCGGAAAGGCGCCCTCGGCCCCGCCTCCCTAGACCACTCCGGGCCACGCCTCTTATAGGAGTCCCGCCCCTTATGAGAGTCCCGCCCCTCGCTTTGCTGCCTTGGCCCGGGTTCTGAGGCTTGGGTTCTTGAGGCTTGGGCGGGGAGCCGTGACAGTATTCATAAGATACAAGGGCCGTTTCTTTCTGGGTGGGGAGTCATATCCTCGGGAAACCGAGTCATCCCGTCCAGCCGCTAACCCCAAACAGATCTTGGGGCAGTGGTCCCTCTCTAGGAACCTCGGAAGATGTGGCCATCCTGCCCCTCTCGGGCGCAGAAAGCCAGCTTTTCCCTGTGCGCTAGGAAGATTTTCACTCGTCCGAGAAACGAGTTCTCAGGGCAGAACCTGCGCCAGACGTGAGGGCTAGACCGGTAGCCAAAGTCCCTCCTGACCTCCCGACCACCCATGAAGACCCAGACTTGAGCCGCACTTTCCTCCTGAGGGGGGGGGGGGCTGCGCAGTCACGCGCACATCTCACTCACACGCGTAAGGCTCACGCTCCCGCCCCGCACACCTGTGCTCCGCCCCTTGGTCCCGGGCCCACGACGCGAGAAGGCATTTGGGAACCCGGGACAGTTTCAGAGGTGCCCCCCATCCCCTCCATTTCCCAGGCAGGAGTGGTCCGGAGCCTGCCGCGGCTCCCAACCGGTTCACATCCTCCGCCATCCTTCCCTCCCCCCGTCTGCCGCGGCACCGGTATCCGCAGCCACCAGCCCGGAGCCGGTGAGGCGGCAAAGGGGGGAGGGAGAGGAAGCAAGGGATGAGCTCCGGGAGGGCGTCGGGGGCCCTGAGCCGGACGAGGACGCCCCTGGAACCGGGACCCGAGCCAGAGCCAGAGCCGGAGACAGAACCAAACCACCGGTACCGGGTCGGCCAGGTGGTCAGGGTGGGAAGAACCGAAAAAGAAGGGACCTGGGAATGCAGGGAGGGATGGGGGCTGCACGAGGCCTGGCTCAGGCTAGTGTAGAGGAGGTAGCAATACTGACTCAAGCGTGTTTTCTGGGCTCGTTGTCTGAGAATTTCGTCCCATCTTCTGCTGCAGTGTCCTTGGAAGGGACGGGGGCGCGGGATGAGCTATAAAGGATAGCTGGCCGGATGTCAGAAAAGTGGGGCTGGGTCGCAGCAGTGGGCTTTTGTAGATGCCGTCTGGCCTTCAGCCTGCGGTGGTTTTAGCCAACCAGCACCCTTAGTCCGGACAGCTCCTTGGTTCGGTAGGGGGTGGGGCGGGCCTCCTATTGCGGATCCTAAGATGCCTTCCTACTCTGCGGGTACCCAGCTGCAGCCCACTAAACCCAGGAGGCGCCCTGGCCCGCGCTCGCCCCCCAGGGCCTCATGTCGGAACCACAACCTGGCCTGGAGCCGCCCCAACATGGGCTGTACATGCTCTTCCTGCTTGTGCTGGTCTTCTTCCTCATGGGCCTTGTAGGCTTCATGATCTGCCACGTGCTCAAGAAGAAAGGCTACCGCTGCCGCACGTCTAGGGGCTCAGAGCCTGATGATGCCCAGCTCCAGCCCCGTGAGTGAGGAGCCTAGAACCCTGATTAAGGCACCTTCCTTCCTTACCCTTCTCCCCAAACTTTTTTTGGCCTCCCTGGCCGACAAACCCAGCCCAAATCCTGATGAAGCCCAAAAGACAGCTTTATGATGCTTTTTTGAGTCTGCATGTAAAGTGATACCACCCCGAAATCGAGGCTAGAAAAGGGGGTCCACTCATGGTAGCCCTGGAACCCCATTTCGTCTCCCTTTTCTAGCCTGATGCATGAAGGCACATAGGTAAAGGGATACATTTTCAGCCATCCCCCCTGGGGCCATCAGGTCATATTCCCCCAAAGCTGACTCATTTCCCACTTCCTTGCCAACCTCTTTCATCCTTCAGCTGAAGACGATGACGTGAATGAGGACACAGTAGAGAGGATTGTTCGCTGTATCATCCAAAATGAAGGTGGGTATAGGCCAAAAGCTTGCTCCTTCCCAAACTATCTCTTGCCCTGACCTCAACTTCCACTGATTGCTTCTCCCTCTCCCATCAGCCAATGCTGAGGCCTTGAAGGAGATGCTAGGGGACAGTGAAGGAGAAGGGACGGTACAGCTCTCCAGGTGAGCTGGAAACAAGGACCAGCATAGTTTACCTTACCTTGGAGTACCCGCTCTAATACAGTTTTCCTAAGTACCATGGGAGGGGTGGACAAGGCTAACTAACCTATGGGAGGTTTATAGAAACCTTTTACCCTTCATCTCCAATCTAGACACCATGCAGCCTAGCATTCACCTCTGGTGTCACTTTCTTTGGTTAAGCATTGCTCTCTTTAGTAACCTGGGTGGAAAGGAAGAATGTGTGACCACTCATTTCTTAACATTGAATTTACTCAAGACAAAAGGATGTTGGAACCTAGGAAGGTGGGGTTTGGGGAGGATTAAAGATCATGTTGAGAGAACAGAAGAAAAATGGCAGGAAGGGAAATGAAAATCTCATTTCTGCTCCATTCTGCTTTCTTCCTGTGGTCCAGCGTGGATGCCACCTCCAGCCTGCAGGATGGAGCTCCTTCCCATCATCACACAGTGCATCTTGGCTCTGCAGCTCCTTGCATCCACTGTAGCCGCAACAAGAGGCCCCCACTTGTCCGTCAGGGTCGCTCTAAGGAGGGAAAAGGTCGCCCCAGGCCTGGAGAGACCACTGTATTCTCAGTGGGCAGGTGGGGATACAGTGGTCCAAGAAAAGGGAGATTAAGTTGGTGCCCAATACTTTCCTCTCAATGACCGAGCAACTGCAGCAGGGGTCAAGCTGTACAAAGTGTCTGTCCCACAATCTCAGAAGGCCTCCCTACCCAGGCCATAGAAGTCGCCATCAACCCCAGGGAGGGAAGTTTAGGTCACCTTTGGGCTGTAGTCCTAAACTGCATTGTTCTCTTCCCACCCAGATTCCGAGTGACACACATTGAGAAGCGCTATGGCCTACATGAACATCGTGATGGTTCTCCTACAGACAGAAGCTGGGGCTCTGGTGGGGGGCAGGAACCAGGGGCCAGTCAGGTGGCTGCAGGAGGGCAGCCTAGGACAGGGACAACTGCCACTGAAAGGCTGCTCCCTGAGCCACCACCCTCCCAGGCTGTAGCCACCCACCCAGTGCAGAATGGAGGACTCAAGGATGACAGCCTAGTCCCTTGTACACTTGAGGGAGCCCCTGAAACCTCTGCAGAACTGAACTTGGGCACTAGAGGAAGAGGCCCAAGTCCAGAGCTGCTTAATCAAGAGACAAATGGACAGCCAACCAAACTGGACACCTCAGGTCAGCAGGTATGAAGACATGGTCAGAGATGCATTGGGCAGTGGTGGACACACATCTTCTGTCCCTATGCTGAGCAACATTGATTATCCACCTCCTGTTCCCACTGAACACTTCCCCTTCTCTCAGGAGTCTCTACCACCAGACGCAGGGGGTATGTGAGGCGAGTCTCCCTGAGCTCGAGATCAGGTAATCTCATCCTCCCACCTGTTACTTAAACCACCCAAACCCATCGACTCCCTGAGCCCCTGGGGTGAACTACAGGCTTAGTGTGTGTGTTACAGATTCCGTCGCTGGTGGTGGGGAGTGGGAGTGGGCATAGAGGTCCCCCGGGAGTTAGAAATGGTCTCTGGAGGACTGGTCAATCAGAGCTCAAACAGGAAGCAACACTGTCCCCCTTCCTTTCTTCCAAGCCTCAGTCTTCACTGTGCTGATGGATACCAGCAGGCATTGCCAGGGTATGGATAGCCATGAAGGCTCTCCCCTCCACTGGACAGCACTGCTCCTCAGTTGAGGGACCAGCTCTACTTCTATCCGGAGTTACATGGTCCCAGGCTGAGGGACCTCAGGAGGAGCCGCTCCCAACTCCCAACCCCTCATTCTTTTTCCTTTCCCTACTTGCCAATGGGTTGCCTGGCCTGCCTTCCCCAAAACCTCGCTCCACATGCAAGAGCGTGGCAGCTGGGACCAGGCCCTACCCGTGGTGGGCCCCTAAAGCAATAGCACCTTAGGCCCCCTGCCCTCTTGGCACAAGAGGCCCAGGCCCTGGCTTGGACTTCATGCCCTTTATTCACTGTCAATAAATCCGCTCAGACCATTACAGTTGCTTTGCATCCTGGCTCCAGCTCCTTCTGACTTCCAAGACCTGCTCTTCTCCTGGCTCCAGGCCTGGTGACCCCAGCATTTGGGGTGGAGTTGGTCACAGAGGCAGGGTGAAGACAGAGATGAGCCAGAACCATAAAATGCTTTAAGGAATGGGTACCAGCCCCAGAAATTTTGGGATATTTTACCACCCTAGATATGGGGTGATGGTAAAAAGTCAAAGGGGTAGTTCTGGCCCAGAGATGACAGAAGAACAATGTGGGAAAGGAATGGGTTCAAATGCAGAAATGGGAACAGTGCCAGCTTCTACCCCTGGAGGTGAGAGTGGACATGGGGGGAAGACTGCAGCTTTTGCTTATGTCGCTCCAGATCATTGAGGGGGTGGTTTCTGTCAGCATGGAGATGGGGCAGCAGCATCACTGGGGGGCAGTGACACCCCCCCCCCGGCCTTCAGGTGAGGGGATCTGGATGGCCAGGATCCGGGGCTTTGGCTGGTGGGGGAGGTGGTGGACGCATCTGCAGGGGATATACATAATCAGTGCCCCAGAGTCCTTCTTGGGAATATCCCTGTTCATTACCTCAGCCCAGCATACAAAACAGGACCCATAGGAATGACCCTTCTGTGCAATCTTCTCCAAGACAGAGGCTCTTACCGGCCTGAGTCGAGGCACCATCATGTCCAGAGGTCCTGGGCAGTCTAGAACTTTGTCTAGAAATAGAAACCAAAAGTCAGTTCTCAAGCTTTTGTTGGGCTCCATGCTGCATCTCCAGCACTTAGGATAGCGATACTTTATAAATACTTGTTGACTTAGCAAAAATAATCACCAGCCTGAGCTATAAAATCCATTAGTCCATCCATCGTCACATACTTAATGCACAACTGCTCTGTACAAAGGACCAAAGAAAGGGGGTGGAGCATAACAGCTACCGTCGAAGTGGTTATTGAGAACCCCCCCCACACACACACACACACAGGCACACACAGGCACGCACAGAGGGGCGCAGGGGGACAGCGTGCCCCAATGTGACCTTATTCAAAGTGAAGTAGGAGTGGCGGAAGAGCTGACAGTGACTCTAGAGTCAGGGCGTGTGACTTGGAGAAGGTGGACGTACTAGAGCATATTAGAAAAGCTGAGTATTTCATGGTGAAAACTAAGGGGTTGGGGATATAAGGGTAGATATGCTTGCCTAGCATGAACAAGATCCTAGTTAGATCCACAGCACCCCAAAAAAATATAGAAATTAATCCAAAGATAAATACTATATTTCAGAGTTCAAGGATGCTAAGAGGAAAAAGTACATTTTAGGAGAATGTAAGAATTCCATGAGAAAAGATAGCTAATTTTTAATATAATGATCTAAAACATCCATTTTATTTTTTATTTTATTATATGCCAATCCACAATGTTGTATACTCTTTTTTTCTTCATTCTGGTTTTTTGAGGCAGGGTTTCTCTGTATAATAATAACCTTGGCAGTCTAGAACTTACTTTGTAGACCAGGCTGGCCTCGGACTCACAGAGATCCATCTGCCTCTGCATCCAGAGTGCTGGGATTAAATGTATACACCATCACTGCTCAGCGATGTATACTCTTAACAAACGTCTTGGTTAACTCTTTTTTTCTTATGTGCATGAGTGTTTTGCTTACACGTATGCCTGTGCACCACATGCATGCCTGGTGCTCACTGGAATCAGAAGAGTGTCAGATTCCTGGGACTAGAGTTATTGATGGTTGTGAGCTCACATGTGGATACTGGGAATCAAACCTGGGTCCTCTGCAAGAGCAACAAGTGCATTTATGCACTGAGCCATCTCTCCAGCCCCTAATAATTCAATAAACTAGTGCCTTTCCCTTTACTTTCTAAAGACTAAACCAACCTAGGCTAGTGACTCATACTTCTAATCTTAACACATCAGGAAGGCAGAGGCGGAAGGAGTGCTGGTTCAAGGCTAGCCCTATCTCCAAAGACTAAAGTATAAGAAGAAAAAACCTAGACCAAGTGTAGATTTGAGTGTGAGAAGAAAGGTTTGACTGAGTGAATGCTTTCACACCAGGGCCCCACAGTGTGAGAGAGGTCACCCAGCTGCCAGTACAGTAAGATGTTATATCAACGAATGATTTATACACTCCTGAGATATTTCAGGATAAATCCCATTATGGAAAGGAGGAAAGCTATGGCTTCACAAGATTTTTATAGACTTGACAGCAACTATTCAAGAGACGGGTGTTCCCAAAGCTCCGCAAATAAGGTTCCTCGCTGGAATACACTCCCATGAGTCTGTCCAGTGATCTGTCAGCTATAATTTTGCTAGTGGCTCACAGCAACCAAAGACCAGACAGGTTAAGCCTTCCACCTCAAGTCATACAATAAAAAGGGACTAAGGGGTTTGAACCTGGCTCCAAATCCAAGCTCCCCCGCCCCCCGCCACGACAATATGCCATGGACCTTACTACAAGGTACACCCAGAGCACACAGGAGCAGGTAAGGCAGAGTCCAAACTTCGTCCTTGTCATTACTTATGCTCCAAGGCGCCACTTCTCTCTACTCACCCAGAGGCAGAGCGGGTGCAGCGGATCCTTCCAAGGCACAGGTGGGTGCAGGAGGCGAAAAACTGGGAGGAGAAGGGGATGGCAGCGTCTGGAGACAGAGTACGCAAACAGTCATTTCTGGTCCATGGGAACACTTAACCAGCGTTTCCTCTCACCCCACTCTGAGTTTCTCTCCCAATTATTCTCAGTACCAAAAGCAGCCAAATGAGGGCTGTAACTGATAGATAGTCCAATAGCCAGTATGTATGGAATAGTTATTATGTGTCAGGTATGTCATGACAGGGCAATACAAATTCAAACACTTCCTGTGTCCCACGGGGCTAAGGAGTTTCCCTCTGTCATCTCTAGTCATGACAGTAAGCCTGCTAAAGCAGCTGTTGCTTCTGTTTTACACACACGAAGAAGGCCGCTCAGAGAAGGTAAGTAACCACTCAAAGTCATGCTATGACAATTTGTACTCAGGTCTATCTGGCCCTAAAAGTCCCAAACTTCCAGGAAGGGTGTCTTTGTTTCTCTTCTCCCTTTCCAGTCAAAGCACACAGTGAGGACTAAGCTACCATGGGAGGCAAACGTGGGGAGGAAACAAAGCTTTAAGATTAATGTGGAGCACTGTTGAGGTGAGATGAAAGGGTCACCCCAGAGGTTACTTGAGGGAGAATGAAGCTTCACCTGTTCAGGGTCAGAGAATTCAGGTGGCCCCGGGGGACCAAGCAGTTCCTCTACCAGTAGAGATGGGAAAACTCCGACACGGCCCCCAAATTCTCCCCTCCAGAAGCCATCATCCACACCGTCTTGAGCCCTGGGCAGCAGGCGGATGAGTGCCCCTTCAGGGAAGCTTAGCTCCTCTTCACTCTGCCCAGTGTAGCTATACAGGGCACGGGCCAGGAATGCTACAGGAGCCCAGGAGAGAGGAAGAAATAAGCAGTGACTGTGGTACACTAGCTCCATGCCGCTCTACCCACAACCATCCAGAAAGCTCGATCTGTCTACACCCGTGGTCCCTGAATCTGTAACTTACTTTTCTTACCTGTGGGTTCTGCTCCTGAGGGATTGCTGCTGCCGTGGCTGCTCTCAGGAAGGGAGAGATCCGGGAAGTTGAGATATCGTTCAGGGACAAAGCCTGCTTCACCATGCTGGTTCCGAGCCTGCTCACCCAGCAATGTGAACGGGTATCAGACTTGCTCAGCAGTCCATGACCTTGGCTCTTTGCCACTCAAGTTGCTGGCATTACCTGAATGAGTCCTCCCACTGCCCCCAGTCCAGGGTCCCATACTTACCTTAACCCATTCGTCAGCATCCCCTTCCTCGATGACCTCCAGCCACTCACCCTCGGTGATAGTCAGCTCGTCCTCACGTCCTGCCTGAGCCCCACAAGGAAGGAGTCGAGATGTGCCCCACCCCCGCCCATTGCCCATCTGAAGTTTCTATACCCATTCACACCTGGTAGCCAAACACCACATGTGCAGGGCAAGGGAGGGATCTGGTGGCCAGGGCTTGGGGAGCAGGCTCTTCAAAGAGCTCCCCAGCCTCCTCACATTCATCGAAGTCAGAAAGCTCAGCATCCTCAGCCTGGAGAGGGGAGAGGACAGATACTGCCTCAAATACTGTGTGGATCTCCCACACACCTCTCTTATCTCTAGGGGACACTGTGAATCCTCCTTTAAGGCAGTACCCCTCAACCAATCACCATATCTCAACCAAAACCACCACAGGGCCGGATGATTCTAAATAACAGCAATGACAACCGTTAGCTGCTACATATGTTTCATTTAACCTTCAGTATAACTCACCATTGTTTTGTATAACTATATTAACCTCGCTTTGCTTTTGAAGAAACAGAATCACAAAGGTTAAGCCATCTGCCAAGGCCACACAGCTACTAAGTGGAGTGGCTGGCACTCAATTAACTTACAGACTGCTTCCAGAACCATGGTTTATTTTATCTTACTTTATTTTATTTTGGTTTTTTTTTTTTAAACAGGTTAGCCCTGGCTGACCTGAAACTCACTCTGTAGACCAGGCTGGCCATGAACTTACAGAGATCTGCCTGCCTCTGCCCCTGCCCCCGTGCTGGGATTAAAGGCGCGTGCCACCACCACCCAACAGAACCATGGTTCTTAATCAGCATATTAGAAGTTTATTGAGAAACTATGCAGTATCATCCCAGCCTCATGATAATCCTCTGCATTAGATATTGTGATTTCCATTTTAGATGTTCTACCTTCTAACGAGGAATTTTAGCCTCCCAATGTGCATGGTTAGGAAAAAGGAGGAACTTACCATGGGAGAGAGATCCCTCTGGGACAGCCGAGCCTCACTAAGCCGTCTCTCCTGCTCCACCTCATCCTGGGCTTGGGTCATCGCTGGCTTCAGCCAGCACTGTACATCTAGGCCAGCCTCCTGTAGCAGGGCCAGCCGAGCAGCCCCTTTCACCTGGCTCACCTGGTGTG